ACGGCAAAAACTACAGTATTTGAGAGGCCGGCAAGAATTCCAGTTGGGGAAGAGTGGGAAATAAAGCTGAATAGGTAGAATGGAACCTTCTTAAAAGCCAGACTGAAGCATATAAATTCAGCCCAGTTGGCAAAGAGAATCCATTATGGGTTCTCCAGCAGGGGAACTGACAAGATGAAACCAGTACTTTAAATAAATTACACTGTCAGTAGTTACAGAAGATAAAATGAGTAAGAAAGGTTGCTCAGGGCAACCAAATAAAAACTTAATAATCCAGACCTACAACCATTCATTCATTGAGAAGACAGACTGCTAGGTAACAACACTGGCCTAGAATTCACACAAACTGGGACTAAATTCCTGCTCTGTCCCCCACTACCTAAGCCTCAATTTTCTCACTGTTAAATTCAGGGCATCAGCACTCAGACTGTCACAGTACTTGTCAAAGTACCTGTGTAGTCCTGATACATAGAACTTTGACGATTAGTAAACAGTAGTGCTAAATTAAGTATGGTTAAAAATGGGAAGTGAACATAAGACAAGGCTCATAGAGGAACAGAACTTCCAAGGACAACTATCTTGACAGCAGCTGACAATATGGAAAAGAACACACAGGTAAAAGGTCAGAAAAAATAAAATAAAACCACCTACTCAAAGTAATCACTACAGCCTAAAAGGCAAACCCTAGGTTCTGCGGGACCCAAGCCTTGAAAGAGTTCCCTTTTTATTTAAAGAGTTTGCCTGGCGTGGTGGCTCACGACTGTAATCCCAGCACTTTGGAAGGCCGAGGCAGGTGGAACATGAGGTCAGGAGTTCAAGACCAGCCTGGCCAACATGGTGAAACTCCACCTCTACTAAAGATACAAAAATTAGCCAGGAGTGGTGGCGGACACCTGTAATCCCAGCTACTCAGGAGGCTGAGGCAGGAGAATTACCTGACCCCAGGTGGTGGAGGCTGCAATGAGCCAAGATCGCACCACTGCACTCCAGCCTGGGCAACAGAGTAAAACTCCATCTCAAAAAAATATATATAATAAAAATTTAAAAAAATAAATAAAACGCATGAGGAGCTACTACCCCAACATCACAGCTAGTAAGGGATAGAGCCTGAGTTTGAACTCACTGTAACCACTATGCTACAACACAAAGATTTCAATGATTTTTCCTACACTAGTTTTTTGTTTGTTTTTGAGAGGGTGTCTCCCTCTATCGCCCAGGGTGGAGTGCAGTAGCGTGATCTTGGCTCACTGCAACCTCCACCTCCCAGGTTCTCCCAGATTCTCCCACCTCAGGCTCCCGAGTAGCTGGGACTATTGGCACCTGCCACCATGCCTGGCTAATTTTTGTATTTTTAGTAGAGACGTAGAAGACGGGGTTTCACCATGTTGGCCAAGATGGTCTCGATCTCTTGACCTCGTGATCTGCCCGCCTCAGCCTTCCAAAGTGCTGGGATTACAGGCATGAGCCACCGTGCCCAGTAGGACTGCATCTTATTAAATAGTGCTAGGGAGTTCAACACAATGATATGAGTTCTATGAATTTCATTTAACCATGCAATCACCTGACCCAGTTAGTACAGATGCTCAACTATAGATCATAAACTTGATCAGAAACACAAGGTTTTGGAAGGGTATCTACACAGATCCAGACTAACAAAACAGCTGGGAAAAATTCCGCAGATTCAGTCATCTAAGACAGACCCAGGTTTGAATCCTAGTGTTCATTTAATCATTTTGTGGCCTTGAACAAGTGAATTAACTTCTTTGCACCTCTGTTTCATCATCCACAAAAAAAGCCCAACACTACCTCATAGGATCAGCCTGGGGTATAAACGGCATAGAAAGCACCTCACATCTCCTAGAGCATAGCCCTGAGCACCTAGTCCCTCTCCTCTGGCTCTGTGGTAACAGGGCAATCAATTGCACTCTTACCGAACCCAATCCCAGAGGGGTAAACAGCCAAATCTCTCCAGTATCAGCTCTCTCACAGAGTCCTTTCTTTTTAACTTCAGGTTTCTATTGGTGGCAGAGCATGAGATACCACCTTGGTGGCACCTAAACTGAACGATACTCAACAATTCTTTACTACACAGCTCTAGGGTCCTAGCCCTCCTCTACCACTAGAATGTCTGAGCATAAAGTATAAATGTCTCATGCTGGCTGCTTTCCTTTTTTGCATTTCAGTGACTTATACTGTAAATGTTGTGAAATGAGTCCAATTCACATGCACTAGAAAAATACAAGTTTTAGTGAATGCCAATGTTTCTGCCATACCTCTCCCCTGACTTCCTACCATTCATTCTTCTCTATTCTTTTTATATAAATGACACCAAAATTGAACAAACCCAACAAACTATTTCAACCAACTTCATCAAAATGTGTCAGGTCAGAAATTCTTTGTAACAGTACTGCTACAAATTGTACAAACAAGGGAGATTCCTTTGTCACCTACTTGTCTGACAAGGTTGTATGTATACTGCACTGATGGATTTAATCAACAGGTTGATGTTCAAAAGGTCTATTAATATATTTCCTTTTATCAGTAACCCCTATGTTCATATTATCTTCTGCCCTTTCTACATGTGAGCTTGAAAGGCTCCTAGAACACAGGAAGCAGTTAGCTCTAGTTCTTTCGGGAGACTGGTGTCATGATAATCATGCAAAACCTTTAATTAGGTGTCGAGAATACAAATATCAAAAAGATTCTTGGACGTACGTATTAAAATGCTTAACACTTCTTTGAAGCAACCAACGCAAAAACATCATCTCTGCAAGGGGCCACTCCATTTACCACCAGTGTCTCCCACATTAATACCCAAAGCTGGTATATGTTAAAAGAAAAATGTCTTATAAACTGACGGTGAGCTTTGCAACAATTTTTATGCCATTAACATGTCACTTTATTGAGTTCCTTAACACTAAGAAAAACTTTTCCCAGGCACGTAGTTTTCATCCCACATACAGTTCAGTATTTTTACTGTACTGCAGGTCTGATTCTAACAACTCAAACGTCAAAAAATAGTTACTTATGAATTTAATGATTGTGATTACGTACATCTCAGTGCAGGATAGGGCTGGAAAAAAAAATATTCCAAACAAGAAAACCTGGATTTAATAGCAAGAAGCCTAATCACACATCACACGCCTAACTGCTCTCAGGCATAGTTTCTTCCTGCAGCCCCTCCCCCACAGGTAAATGCTAACTATTTCTAGAACTCTCAACAATTTGGGAAGCTTGCCATCAACTCCCAGGACACCACCCAACATACACCATGTTTTCGGGGAGACAAAGGTGCCTCAGACTATAAACTTATTAAAATGGTGAGAACATACAATCCCAGGAAGTCAGCATTACTAAAATACATCAATGTAGCATGGGTCTTATTTTAACAAAAATGAAAATGAATCACACTGGAAAACCCAAACAGTCACTCATTGTTATCTTCAACGTGTAATCGAAATTATTTATTCCAAGTTGTTTCAGGTAAGTGGATGAAGACACCACGAGGGCCTTATTATTATCCAAACTGGAGAAGGAGCCTTTAGGAAAAAAAGGAGGGGGAAGAAGATCACTTAATTACATGAGGTGGGGGGTGGAGAAACCATTCAGTCTTAAAATTCAGACTAAAAATAACCTGTCATTTTCACCCACTACATTTTATTAACAAGTTTGTTTAGATCAGCATACGGTTCCTGTTTGGAAAACAAGAAAGTGAACAGTAAACTTTCCTAAGTCAACTGCAAATCACATAGGTACTAAAACTCTTCACCCCCGGTGCCTGCACAGTCCAAGATTTTAAGTAAACTCCAGACATTGAGAACACCTAATTTCTAACTAGTTTCCAACATTTCTCATTTGTAATCACCAAATTATCTTAGAGACACTTAAGACAATCCAACAAAGAGAGCATTTTTTCAAAGCCACAACCCAAATTTTACATGAAACACACCATTTTCACAACCTAAATTTAATCCCGGTTACCAATGCGAAGTGATGCCTGCTTCAGCAAATTAAGAACTTCCAAAAATACTGAACACGTTAACGCATGGATGGCTTCCCTCGAGCTGCCATTTAAGATTAATATTCCACTTAAATAAAAGTCTGCTTCTGTTCAAAAAATTAAATCGGTTGCAAAGAGGAAGTTACCGAGAAACCACCCTCACAACGTGGCCTTTACACTGTCAGAAAATAACGTGACTCTGTGCCACCCAAAACTTACCAGGAAGCTGACAATAACTTTGCCAATTCTACACTCCTGAACCCAACTTCAAAGAATCTCCACCAAATACCTCCTTAAGACGATAGAAAGCACTAAGTTACAAATAAACACGTCCCGGAGCAAGGCCTGGCTGCCGCGCGCCCCTCCCCCGGCCGGCGCCCCCGCCCCGGACGCGCGGCCCCAACAGCCGCCCGCAGCCCCTAGCACGCCGGCCGGGGTCGCCGCGCCCGGGCCGGGGACGCGCCTGGGGAGGGGAGATTTCCATTGCCGCCCGAGGTTTCACAAAATAGCATACACCGAAAAGCTCCTTCTCCTCTGCTAAAAATAGGCTATAAAGGAGTCGGCCTCATGATGGCTCCTTGATTCAATTTGCTGCAAATCCTTTCCTAAAAGCCTCCCCCCCCCCATACACACACGCACAAAAAGGGGGTGTAAATGCACGAAGGGAGGAAGAGGGGGAGAAGGCCGAGGTGCACATTTTCGGGGACAACATAATTAGGGTGAGGATCCCCCGAGACCAGGAAAGGGTAGGGGGTGGGCAGGCACGTGAGCATTTCAAAGAAACCTGAGAGAGGAAAACGGGGGGATGGGGGCGCCCCAAGTGCCCTCCCTGCCTTCCCTCCCCCCACGCAAGCCCAGTTCCCCCAAGGGCCAAGTTGAAAAATGCATGTTCCACTCGCGCCCATCCCCCGCGGCCCAGCGCCCCCGGCCGCCTCTGGCCCGCGCCCCCCGCCCAGGCCCGCGACCGCCCCCACTCCGGGGTCCGGCCCCCAGCGCTTACCTGGAAACGGTGGCCTCCAACGCCGCTCCCCCCTCCCGGGAATGGAGGCACTAGGAAATTCCCCTCCTCGCCGCCGCCGCCACCGCCTCCAACCACCCCCAAAATAACCCCTCCGGGGGGTGAGAGGCAATTATAACCCCAGCGAGCGGAGGGCGCGGGGGATGGGCGCCGGGAGGGCGGGGGCGGGGAGCGCGGCGCGGGTCCCCAGGTGGCGAGCGGAGGTGCTCCCGCCGCTGGGGGAGGGGCGGGGGCGCACGCGGCCGGCGGCGGGGGGAGGCGGCGCGCGGGGGAAGGGCGCGAGCGGGGAGAGGAATTGAGGCAGAAGGTAAAAGCTGTTACTAAGGGAAAGAGCCAAACGGTTCGGAGCAGCCAACGGCTCAGACACTCAACACTAGGGAGAGAGGAATGGGGACCAGCCAGGCACAAATGAGCTCGCGAGGCCCGCGGCGGCGGCGGCGGCGGCGGCGGCCGCGCAGCAAAACAAACCCGAGCGGCCTGCGCCGGGCGGGCGGGCGAGCGGGCGGGCGCGCGGGGGAGGGGCCGGCGGGGGAGGGGCGCCGCGGACGCGGGGAGGCGGTGGCGGCGGCGGCGCGGCGGGGGGGGCTCCAGCGGCCGCGCTCCTCTCCCTCCCGGCCCGCTCCGGCGGCGCTGGGGGCTGGGCTGTGCGGCGCATTCTTTTTAAAAATCAGGCGAGCCCCGCGGGCACTCAAAGGCGCCTCGGGGCCCCGGGCCGCCCGCCCCGCCCCCACCGCCGCGGGCTGGCCTGAGTGTGCTCGGGTGTGGGCCGCTGGGCCCGAGACGGGTGGGGGCGGGGAGGCCCGCGCGGTGGCCGGGGTGGAGCCGCTGGCGAAGTTTCCCAAGGAGGCCGCGGGCTTCCGCGTGTCCTGGGGGCGGCCCGGCGGCGCTGGGGGCTGGGCGCACACGCGGCGGGCATGTGCGGGAGCGCGGCGCGGCATCATATGGACATTTGTTTGTGAAAATCTCTGTGCACACCTTTGTGTGCGTAAATACATATGGTTCTCGGAAGCGTACCTGGAAAGGTGCTTTATCTGTATTAAGCGACTTTCAAAATGTGATCCAGAGCACGGGATCTGGAGAGAAAACACGCACACAAGAAAGGATTTTTGATACTAAACACAAAGCTGTAATTGAAGTGTTTATGCCCAAATGTACTGTGAATCAAGCATATGGTGGTATTTATCATCTGGTGGGTCTGTTTGAAAGGTTTGGTCGATCAGTTCTTATTTCACAAAAATAAAATAATGTAACTAAATGTTTACTAAACATATACCTCCACGGTGGCATCCACAGTAGAAGTTTACCCACTTTGTATACTTTTTGCATGTGTGAAGCACAGCAAGGCTGTTTATAAAGTGTACCTTTGATAAGTGATAATGTGGGCAGTATGATTGAGGGGGGTCGTTTTTAAAGAAGGGAGGCACTTCAGGTTTTAAAGCAAATGGGGTGGTAATCTTTCTAAGACTTTCAGAAAGATGGGGTGGGGCGCTTCTTAGAGCTCTGTATAAGCTCAGGACTGGAGAAGCAGCCACCCTTTTAATTAAGATACCACTTGAAACCTTTTTGTTATTTCGGTTATTACTGCCTTCAAAGCAAAATAATATTTGCAGCTTTTTCTTAAAGGTGAAGGGTACTGTTTTCCTGCTCTCATCACAATATTTGAAAATAGATGTAGCGATCACTTTAAAGCGACTATCATTTCCTCTCAGTATCAGAAGCCTAAAGTTTTGCGACACACACACACACACACACACACACTACTTGTAACTTGCACCAGTGTGGACTCCTGGTGGCCTAAAACGTTCAGTGATTAGACAGGTGGTTTCTTGGCTAAGGTCAATGTCTCTTTCCCCCAGGAGCCCTTGCTTGGGGGAGCTGCCAGAGGCCTTTCCTGAATGACCTAGTGGGGCAGGGAGCAGGAAAACCATCAGAGGAAAGGGAGTAGTGGGATTGGAAACTCCCTTCCAACCACCAGAAAGAGAGTTCAAAGCATATCAGTGGTGTGGCCTTAGAGCTATTTTGATGTATGAAAGTGGGAATGTTGGATTAAACAATGTCACCCGATGGGAATTTAGATAACTGCAGGTTTCCAAAACACTATGCAGAGTGTACAGGGAAACCGCACAAAGCAAGTTTTGCATTTCAATAGGCTTCTAAAGCTGAGGCTTGTTTACCTCAAAACTAACACCTTTCAGAAGACTTTATTTCAGAATTGAGAAGAGTATAGTATCTTCCTTTTTTTTTTTTTTTTTTGAGTTGATTAATGGCATAGATATCACTAAACATACCCTGTCTTCAATAAATAAACTATCTCGGTGGAGCCACTCAATGAAACATATCTATTGGCTTAGATTATTTTTTAAGTTTCATATTGTGCTACCACGGGCGGGTCTTCTCCATACAGCAGTGACCGTAAAATCAAACCCCACTTTCAGTGAATGAGGACTTCTCAACCATACAGTTCTTAAGCGTCATATTCAAAGCTGCCTACCCCATGCTTTCTCCTTCCCCTAAATGACCTCTCTCCCTTATTCCACAAGGGAGGAGACACCCTCCTTCAGGTTCATAGGATCAGGCCTTCCAGCCTGAAGTTCTTATACCCTACACCAAGCTGCCTCCTAAAGTTGTTCAGCGTTAGTTGAGCCTCCTAACAATGATAATAATCCATGCATTTGTTTATATCCCTATAGTTTACAAGACATTTCTGTGCATAAATGACTGCATTTTAATATGAAGATCATCGAGTCTGGGGACTTATAAATTCATTGCAGTAAAATGTACTTTACTCACCACTGTTGGATCACACTAATTGAAGAGAGAGCAGGAGTACTTTTTTTTTCTTTGAGACGGCGTTTCGCTCTTGTCACCCAGGTTGGAGTGCAATGGCAGAATCTCGGCTCACTGCAACCTCCGCCTCCCGGGTTCAAGTGATTCTCCTGCCTCAGCCTCCCGAGTAGTTGGGATTACAGGCGTGTGCCACCACGCCCGGCTAATTTTGTATTTTTAGCAGAGATGGGGTTTCTCCGTGTTGGTCAGGCTGGTCTCAAACTCCTGACCTCAGGTGATCTACCCGCCTCAGCCTCCCAGTGTTGGGATTGCAGGTGTGAGCCACCGTGCCCAGCGACCTGGAGTGCTTTTAAACAAACAAACAGAAAAAATGGGGGCACCCAAATGTGGAAAGGCCTTGATTCCTCCAGCAAAGGGGGTTTTAAATCACATCACATTTTGATCCCTTTGATTTTATATTCTGGAAACTATCTGAAACAACAGTGTGGCTTCAACGTTAAATACTCAGAGAAATAAACCATCACTCAGAGATCACATGTATTGTCCCATCACCCTCTAGCTGTCCCAACATATCCAGCATAAAGGATCAGGGCTGCACCAAAATACAAGCAATGATTATACTCACTGGATGAGGAAAGGACAAAGAAGGAACTCTTGTTACTAATATTCAATACTGTGTCCTAATCTAAAACTCCCATTACACTTTGAATTAAATGTTAATGTGTTTCTAGAAAGGAGAGATTACTGTGTTATTAACAAATTGCAAAGCAAAGGAGCACATTAAGAAGTTCTCTACTGGGTGCCATGGCTCACACCTGTAATCCTAGCACTTTGGGAGGCTGAGGCCGGCGGATCATGAGGTCAGGAGTTCAAGACCAGCCTGGCCAACATGATGAAACTTCGTCTGTACGAAAAACGCAAAATGTTAGTCGGGCGTGGTGGCGGGTGCCTATAATCCCAGCTACTTGGGAGGCTGAGGCAGGAGAATCACTTGAACCCTGGAGGGGAAGGTTGCAGTGAACCGAGATCGCGCCCCTGCACTCCAGCCTGGGAGACAGAGCGAGACTCTGATTCAAAAAAAAAAAAAAACAGTTATCTCTTGAACTTTCTAGCTAATTACTTAATGAAGAGAAATTTCATACCAGTAACTGTTATCAGAAGTTACATATGTATTATAAAATGGCTAAACAAATCCTGACTTGTTTTATTTCAGTAATATTTTCCCAAAGGGGTATGGCATGGCAAGATAGCCTACACCTTTGCAACTTTCATCGCTCAAGACATGAAATATTTTTTAAAGTTAAGCTGTTCAATCCCAGGACTACAGGGTCTCATTACTATATGTACTTTTAAATCATCATGATGTTTTAAATTGTTTACATTAGCTCATCTACATAAAGTATTTAAAACAAACTTAACTGTATAAAAAAGACATTTGATACCCAAAATATTCTCCTAGTGCTGTAACTCATTTTATATTCTTTACTCACCCTGGAATTCAGTGGCTTTACATCTGTAGCGTTTACCCCCAGGCGTCTTGCTGATACCCTGTGATGTTTCCGTTTCATTTTGACTTACCTTGTGCAATTCTTTGTGGTTCTTCCGAGATGAGGCACATGCCAACCACACATCTCGAGATCTCAGTACACAAGCTGCTTTTCTCCTTCAATGCATAGCATGTTGCTTGTGACCTTTCCTCATCAGTGTGAACCTTGTCACAGTTTTCCATGCTTCTATGACAACAATAAACTTTACTTGAGAGTCTTCATTTAAATTACAAAAGAAACATACAACTATCTTACAAGTATTTATGCCTCTCAGATAATGAAAATAGCAGGTTGTATCCTGCGATTGTGATTCAGTCAAAACAGAAAACCAACCACACACATAGCATGTTACTGTATAATCACTTACTTATACTGACCAGCCACATACTTCCTCAGGGAAGCACTCAAGGCCTAGTATTATGTTGATGGTTTTGCTCCTCATTCATTCAGTGTTGATTGAATGTGTAGTGTGCCAGGCACTGTTTCAGTGAACTAAAAACAGCCCCTACTCTTCATGAGGCTTACATTCCAGTCCCACATTGGGTGAGGGTTGGGAGCACAGACAGACTTTCAAAAATAGGTCTGTATTAGGCTATTGTTTGACCACTGTAAAAATATATATATATAAATGGCTTAAACAAGGTAAAAGGGTATTATCTTATGTGACTGGCATTCTGGAGTAAGATGCCTTTTTCTTCTCAAGTCATAGAAAGCCACCGGGAGGCTTTGAGCAAAGAAGTGACTTGAACCACCTTTCATTTTAAAGGACCAACTGAGGCTGGGTGTGGTGGCTCACGCCTGTAATCCCAACACTTTAAAAAGCTTAAGTGGGGACCCTGCGCAGTGGCTCACGCAAGTAATAATCCCAGCACTTTGGAAGGCTAAGGCAGGTGGATCACCTGAGGTCCGGATTTCGAGACCAGCCTGGTCAACATGGTGAAACCCCATCTCTACTAATAATACAAAAAAATTAGTCAGGTGTCATGGCACACGTTTGTAACCCTGGCTACTCAGGAGGCTGAGGCTGGAGAATGGCGGGAACCTGGGAGGCAGAGGTTGCAGTGAG